GCGTCTTGCAGGGGCCTTACACGGTCTGGTGCCCTCTTCTTGCTCCCAATGTACTTGAAAAAGGACTTTTTGTTGTCCTTAATCCTGGATGCTAGCCTGAGCTCCATCTCTGCCTTGGCCTTCCTAATGGCCCTCCTACACTCCTGGGCTGAGGAGGAGTACTCCTCCTTGGTGACAGCTCCTCCTTTCCACTGGTTGCACACCCCACTTTTAGTCCTCAGGCATTGCTGAATGCCCTTGCTGAGCCAAGGGGGTTTCTGAGCACTCTTACCCCACTTGCTTCTCTCAGAGACTGTTATCCTTTGGGCCTGTAGGATCGCCCCCTTAAGGTACGACCATCCCTTGTGCACTCCCATCTCCTCTACTTTCTGGGCCCTCAGTGCCTCCCTCACTAGTCTCCTAAGCTCATTGAAGTTGGCCCTTCTGAAGTCAAGGGCTTTAGCCTTGGTGTGAGCCCCTGACACCCTGCATTGGATAGTGAAATCCAGCAGGTAATGATTGCTATTGCCCAGGTGGTCAATGACCTGCAGTCCCCTTACCAGGTCATCCCTCATGACCAGGACCACGTCCAGCAAGGCGTTACCCCTACTGGGGCTGTGCACCTCCTGGATAAAGTGAAGGCCCTATAATACAGCCAGGAACCTACACGAGCGGTCAGACCTGGCTGTCTGCTCTTCCCAGCAAACGTCTGGGTAGTTTAGGTCACCCATGACAATAACATCCCTTGACCTAACTGCCTCCATAAGCTGACTGGAGAAGTCCGGGTCCAGCTCTTCCCCCTGGTTGGGTGGTCTGTAGTAGACACCCACCATAAGGTCCCTTTCACCATGCCCCCCTTGTAGTTTGACCCATAGTGTCTCTGCCCAACCTCCTCTAACCCGAAGCTAATCCCTGATGACGTGAGGTGCTCTTTGACATAGAGCTCAACGCCCCCACCTTTCCTCTCTGTCCTGTTTCTTCTGTATAGGGTGTATCCCCGAATGCCCGTCTCCCAGTCGTAGGTAGGGTCCCACCAGGTTTCTGTGAGCCCCACTAAGTCTGGGTTCTTACTCGCAATCAGGAGGCACAGTTCCTCCTGCTTACTCCCCATACTACAAGCATTAGTGTAGAGGCACTGAGGCCTCCTGAGGGTGCATATGCCTCCCCCCCACTCACAGGACAGTTGTGGCCCCCTGCTCCCTGGACGCTGTAGCTTACCTGGGCTTCCCTTCCTCTTGTCACCCTGCATGCTGGTGAAGCATCCTCTCCACTTGAAGCAGAGTTGCACCGAGCTCCCCTCTCTGCTCGGTGACAGCTCCTGGGAATTCCTTCTCCCTGGTACGCTATCCCAGGCCTTGGAGAGAGCCTCGCTCTCCCATATCTCCTCCTGTACCCCTCCAGGCAGCTCTATCTTCACTGAGCAGCTGCTCCAGAAACACTGCTCCTCTCCACACAGCTCCATACCCAGCCACACTGGGGCATCAGTACAGGTGCTCTGCTGCCCACTTAAACAAGTGAGTATTGCAATCCATTTGAAGAGTTTGAGTGTTTCTACTGCACATGCACCCCTGGGCCGGTAAGGAGATTGCCCCATAGCTACCTTACTGCGCATATGTGTATGTAGTGGACTGGACGAGCATAACCATGATATTGATCATGCCGCTTTAAAACTGGTGGGGTGGCGCCCAAGGGCCCCCTATTGACTGGCTGCCACTGCATGTCAGCAGGGAGTGAGACTGAGCCAGCCAGGCACCACTGCATGCAGCTCCCGGCCAAGTATCAGGAGCTGCTCCCTGCCGCCACATGCGGCTCCCAGGACTCAGCTGGAAGCCATTTGCAATGGAGCTGGGCTGGCAGGGCCTCACTCCCTGCTAGCACATGCGGCTCCCAGGATTCGGTCGAGAGCCATGCATCACCAAGAGGCTCCACCTGTTGCAGGCCATGAGCACTGAAGGGCCGCTGCCTGCTGATGCTGTGCAGCTTGGACCATGCGCCATGAGCTGGAGCCAACCCCACTCCCACTGGAGGACTGTGGTGCATGGGGCGGCAGGCAAAGGGCAGGAGATGCCCGAGCCCCTCTGACTGTGCCAGGCAGAAGCAATGGCTGTGGTCAGCCCAGCTTCATTGTGCAGGGCTCCCCACAACTCCCAGGGAAGCAGCAACGAGCTTGAGGGGGGAAGCTGCAGCCGAGTGCTCCTGCCCAAGCGCACGGAGGCTCCAGCTCTCGACCACCTTCCAACCACACTGCCTGACTAGTGTGATCAGCAGCCACATGCAGGGGGCTGAGTGGGTGAAAGGTGGCCCCACCACGAAGCAGCGTGCACTGGCCAGGGCCGGGGCCAGTGGGAGGGTGGAGCAGTTGCAGGCTGGACTGCAGGGCAAGAGCATGGAGCAGACTGCCCCAGGTGGGAGCAGGTGGGGCTGAGCCCCATGCAGAGCACCAGAGAGCAGCCACAGGCCAGAGGGGGCAGGGGGATAGACTGTATCTGTACCACCAAGTGAGCTCTGCTGCATGTACCCCTTGTCCCCACTTACCCCACCCACCCCCAGCCAGCTCCCAGGACCTAGCGCTTAGGTAGCCTACCAACATATGCACACCCAACCCACCCCACACACACACACACACACACACTCAAACACCCCCCCCCACAGCCCACCATGCCTATACACACCCCCACACTCCTCCACAAACACATCCTTACTTCCCCACACAATATACAAGAGTAAGACTTTATTTTGAGCTATTATGCAATCACCTCCATATATGCTATTCAAACGCACACAAATCAGGACAAAAATATTCAGGACTGGTTGAGGGTGATGGGGCAGGTTGTTAGAGGGGTTACACCCCCTCACTACCTGATAGGTTGTGCCAGGGGCGACATGTAGGGGGTGCATGTGGGTGCATGTGCACCCCCTACGTGTGTTGGTACACCCCTTGCAAAAGGGCACCCCCAACGTTGTCGGCGGCACCTGCAGGCGGTCCCTGATTGCTGCTGGCTGCCACAAATGCTGCTGGTGGTGCCTGCGGGTGGTCGCCGAGCCATGGTCAGTGCTCACCACCCCCCTGCTGTTGCTGACAGTGCCAGCGGCGTCTGCGGGAGCTCCCCACTCCCAGGCTCCCGCCACCACCGGCACAGCGATGCCCCCCCTGCTGCCGGGGGCACATGCCATTCATGGGTTGTGCCTGTGCCTCATGGCCTGAAGGGCTGAACTTTTGGGACCTCAGGGGCAGAACCTCTCTGCATACCACTTCTGGTCTCTACTACCCATAGAGACAAGTAGTCTACAAACCATCTGTAGAAGAACTTTGTTTGCAAATGAATGCCCACAATGTGGATGCCTCTGCTGCAGGCTACGGAGTAGGATACAGCTAAAAAATGGTGGCTCAGGCTGATTAAGGGCAACCTCAAGGTCAGCCCTAAATATCAACGTAGACATATCTCACCTTTATAAATACGTATCATGCAGTTCAATGCAAAGTTGAATTTAATCTACCTAACATAATCTTTACTTGCACACAAGTGTTGGGCTATGTAGTTTTTATCTTCTATCATTACCTACCAGCATGCTAACAATTAAAGATTTACTTCACAAACTCTCCCCACTTTGACTTTGAGTTAGTTGTCCCACATCCAGGCATCACTCGGGCTTCAATTTCATGGCTGATCTCCTGCCCCTACAAAACACTGCAGCTAAGATTTTCTGCTTTCCCTCATAAACCTGAACCATAGAAATCTATCCATGTCTTCCCATTCCCAGTACTGTAACTTGATGCCTTGGTTACCTCATGTCTCAGTTAACATGACCTTCTCCTCTAGCAAGATATGGAAGGTCACAAAGAAGAAATCACGGATGCAAACAAAATGGGGTGGCTCACTGAGAGGTTTGAGAAGAAGAAAAGAGGAAACTAAATGACTCAGTTGTTTTTTCTTTTCTATTTAGAAGATGTCTTTATAATTGACTAGACTTTCACAAATACGGTGAAACAACTTCATGGATGAAAATCCTATGATTTAGAAATTGCTTAATAAAATCACAGATAGTAAGATCAGAAAGAATTGCCAGTCTGAATGGACTATAATAAAGGTACACAACTCACCAAGGAATTCCTGTGACAAGTCCATTAATTTGTGATCAGATTAAAGCATGTCTTATAGAAAGAATATTGTGCTTTATATTTCAGTTGATACAAAATCTGCCCTCTCTCTTCCAACAGTCATATACTGAGACCATTAAAAATGTGTGCCTTATTTCTCATTGAAATAATGAGGTACAAGAGGTACCAAGGTATCAAGATCTTGAGCCTAGTACTACTGCCCTAAATTTTGCCTTCATATGCCTTTTCCCTGTACAAGTGACTACACGTGGATTTCCTTCTTTGTTCTTTTTTTTTTTTTTAATTAAACTGAAAATAGCATTATAATCTTAATCATTAATTCAGCTTTGGCTCAGGCTAACAGCAACAAAGGTACTGACCAATATAACTGTTGAGATGCACTTGTAAGAATGAAGAAGGTGTATCCAGCAAATTCATGGGAGGCAGGTATCTGTCTACCCAAACACATCATCAAAACTGGTGTCTGGAGAAACTGGGTTAGGGACTGAATGTCTATCAAGACTCAAGTCTCCCCCCTAAATGTTCCATCCAAGATCAGGGGTTGAGGTACACTGTCAAGACAGCTGACAGAGCTCACACAGGCTATCCCAAGCCCTATTCTGAGAGAAGCAACATCTCCACTCAGGATCAGGCCCTTTGCAATGGAAAAAGCACAGGTCTCCAGGACTGTCATTCTGGAACCTTTCATTTCTATTACAGAAATTCATTCACAAGTATATGGAGGCATATTTTAGAATTTGGGGTCAGTTAAATGAAAAGGACTGGAGAGGAGAAAATTAAAATAGTGTAAGGAAAAGAAAGCCATGACGGCCCATCCATCATGACAAAAATTGGATTATAGAAATAAATTCCAGAAGGCCAGTAATTAGGCAGGAGATTCACTGCAAGGTACTTTACCTACCTATTTTATGCAGACTTTGCTTCTTTTCATTTTCAAAGTTATCTTTCTGCTCTTGATCTTCCTCATTATCACTATCCAACTTAGTTTCAGTCTCTACAGCTCCAGACAATATTAAGGCTGGCATATTTGGTTGCACTGTAAAGATCCAAAAGACTTCAAGTAAGCTGGGTGGTACAGAAGTTTTGATATTAAAATCATCATCCACCAGCAGCTTCCTTGTTCAGTCTACAAGAGCTTTGCTCTACTGCATTCCTCTTTTCTTTCCTTCTATCCACCCATTCTCAAAACAGTCCAATGCTGTGAAATGCGTCCTCAGAAAGCTCAGCACCTTTAAATGCTGAAATAGCTTACTAGAAACTGAAAGAGAAAATAAATACAGCGAAGACTTGGAAGAGAAGGGTAAAGAATTACCTGTATCTAAAGATTTTCCAGTCAAGAAAGAAGCAGAAGGAGTTTTCCTTCGAAGCAATGTAAGGCGTACGACCTGTCCAGTATTACGCAATGCTTCCACCACTTGTTGGTTGGTATAATCTTGAATGTTAATTCCATCAACCTAATGTAGAAAAAAAAAAAAAAATCACATTAAAAAAAAAAAAAAATCAACCATAATGCCATACCTATGTTTTGTTTAGAGAGCTCCATCATGTACTGTAGTACATAAAAAAATAATGAAACTCAACTTTCAAGAATTATAACTGCTAGCCCTTAGATCACTACATGCACAAATCTTGCACTGACACAGGGCACAGGCACTTATATGCACTACTGTAAGGTAAGGAAGGGTGGGCTTCTACACCTTGTTAACCACTCCATTAGAACTGCCCATGTTCATGCTTTCACAAGCGGTAAATGATGGCTAAACTTAGCTAATGATGAAGGGGTGAACTACCAAAGGTTAGCTTTCATCTATCACAAGGAAGTAGCACTACAAAGGCAGGTACCACAAAGTAGCTGATGCACTATGAATTTCCACCCTCATTAACCTTTCAGCAGTGCTTGTGTGTGCCCAGCCCCTCAGTTACATCAGGATAATTATACAGTGCCATCTTCAAAATGTATTTTCAAAGAAAATACAAAAAAGAACTTGAGGGGGAGAGGCACACAAGGCAGTCATGTACTAATTTTTAGCGTAAAATAATTTTTTTCCAGCATAGTTACTAGACGCAAACAGCAGTTTGAAATGTACTGTTCGGGGAACTTCCTAGATACGCTTGTCAGACTAACAGTCCTTTCAGATGTCATCAGTATAACTTTTCTGCCAGATCTCTGCCCAGCTTACACACACACATTGTGCATGCGGTGCACTTTAAGTACGCCAACTTTTAAATGACTGTATTTTATTTTGCACCCCCAAAGCCAAATGTCTCCACACACACAAGCTTCAGACCATGTATCCATCAGCATCTGTACTTGCAAAACTGTAGTTGCAAGCATAAGCAGGCATCAAATTGTGCGTGCATGGAGAGAGCAAACTCTGACAAAATTTAGGTATTGTGTCTGCAAAACATTTAGTCCCAAATATTTTATACACTTTAAAAGTGAATGTCTCCAAGTTAAGAAATATTTCAGATTTTAAATTATTTGTTTTCTTATGTTTTAGGTTTGCATATTAGATATTACTCAGTTCATGCAGTATTGCCATTTATCCAAACTATTTTAATTTTTACATACACACGTGGCTTTGTTAAAACTCTGAATGAATATTTCTATAGTGTCAGTGCTATGTTATCAGCTTATACATAGTCATAGAGCGTTTCTTTAACTCCATGGATTTTAGTGGGTGTTGACAGTACTTGGCTTTCTAACCCATCCCCACTCTGAAATGCTTCAATCCACACATCTACCTAGTTTACTGTTTGTAATTTCTGTTCTCAGTTTTGCAGTAAACTAATAATCTAACCACTGCAAACCAGAGCTGCTAGCTTAAGCACTAAGTTTTATTAACATAGCTATGAAAATAAAAATAAATTGCCAACATTCCTCCATTTTATAAACTGGATGCAATTGAGTTCTGAACTGAAGTTTAAATTATTAAAGCTATTTTTCATTTTTTTAAAATCCAGACATAGAATAGTGCTAGTTCCAAAAAACCAGAAATATATCAAATATTTTTCCTTACAGCAACAATTTTGTCATGCACTTGTATACATCCACTGTGTTCTGCAGCACTGCCAGGTATTATATTTTTCACAAAAATCCCAGAGGAATCTGCTTGAAAAAATACATACACACATATAAACAAACACAAAAACAAAGGAATGAAAAATGAAAGCACTAATTATGTCCTTTTGTTAAACAGCTATACATTTAGAGCCCAAGACCCTTGTACCTTTGAAGGACTGAGTCCACAAACGAAAGGAATTTGCCCCTAATTCTACTCACAAATGGCCATTCTCTTCACATCACATTACAAAACTGGGCAAATAAAGTTATACATCAAGAGTCAGAGCTAAAGAAAATAGTAACAGCACGCACATTCAAGGCCAATACAGGGTATTCCGAGCATTTATTTATGAGACTAATTTAAACATGTTACAGTAAAAGTTTTGTTATCTGGCATGAGTGGGGTAAGGGTGGTGCCGGTTATCTAAGAGTTATACCAGCCCCAGCCTGCAGCAGCAGCCCGCCTTGCCCCGCACAGATCCCTTTCCCCTGCCTCCCATACCTCCCCCCGCAGACTTTCCTGCCTGTGGGGGTGCGGATGCTGACTTCCTTAATTTATGCTTAAACCTGTTCAGAGACAAGACAGCTCCCATATTATATAGGCTATGAAATGGCAAGGCACTTAAGCCTGTGCTGAAATGCTTTGCTGGATCAGAACCTCATCCTTGTCTTATATTTTAATACTTTAATCATTTAAAAATCAGAAAAATCCCTTGTGAAAAGACAATTTTTTAACAAACAGGAGTTGCAGAAATCAAAAAAGCTTTCCTTCTCTCGCACATTTGAAGTGAACTCTGTGCATGGATATTTTGATCCATTACCACAGCTCAAACACTAGCCCATGCATGAAAGTATGTCATCTCCATTTTATCTGCTAGAGACTTCATCAAAAACACAAGGCCAATACAGGGTATTCCAAGCATTTATTTATGAGACTAATTTAAACATGTAACAGTAAAAGCTTTGTTATCTGGCATGAGTGGGGTAAGGGTGGTGCCGGTTATCTAAAAGTTCGGGTTATCTGAGAGTTATACCAGCCCCAGCCTATTTTTTAAAGGAAACAGTAGAGAATGAATCCTATCCATTAAGGATGCGCCCGGGGGGGGGGGGGGGGGGGGGGGGGGGGGGGGGGGGATGCATGCGCACATGCGTGTGTGTGTTCAGCCCCCCCACAAAAAAATTTTCTCCCTCTGCCTATGCGGATATCAACTAGAAGGGCTCCCAGCAGCTCCTCTATCAGCAGCGTCACTAAATAATGTAAACAACAGAAATACTTGATGTGCACGCTAGACAGGCTTGGCAAAGATTCCAGTTACTAAAGTGGAGATTTGTACTGGGGGATATTGGAAATTCCAGGTAATAGAATATTCTGGTTAATAAAATGCCAGTTAACACAGCTTTTAATGTATTTGATTTTTTGTGGCGGCACCTAAAGAATCCACATCCCAGATTGTGCCAGGTCCTCAACAGACACAGACCGTAGGATAGTCAGGGACCACGTCTTTCTTTAACTGATCCCAGCCTGCAAAATTAGCAATCCAGCATCCTGTAAAAATTGTTTTAAAATTGAATTAGACCCATGGGACTCCTTAGGACTGAGAAAAGCAACAGATAGATCTTCAAACAATTTATCCTATGATTTCATACATTTTGTGGAGTACGAAGTTGCAGAGGAGTATTTTAGAATACTATTCAATTTCCTTTAAACAAACAGGCTTTGATAAATCAATCTTTCATAATCAGTATAACTCACCAAGATCAGCTGTTCCAGCATATCCAACAATAGTTATACCCAAGCTTTGTCCATTCTTTTTTATAAGTTCCACATCATAGGTGTCAAAAAGGGTGGCATTATCCTAGAAGTCAAATATACAGTTTACAAAACAGAATGGCTACATGAAAAGAGTTTTCTCAGTAGCATTTAGAGCATCCAATGATCTTCATTGCCCAAATTCAGATAACATCAAGGGATCTCATTTGCAAAGGATGGCTGCTTACATTTTTTAAAGTTACGGATTTTGGTTGCCACCTTCCCACTTCTGAAACTCCCAGCTACTATATTTATACTAAATCACAAGTAAATGTCAGGAGAAAAATCAATGCCTTTCAAACAGGGGGGCACTTTTCTCACAGTTTCCAATGACACTCAACAAAAGAACACTTGCCAAAAAAATACTCATGGCAGATCATGGAAACAATAAAGACTTTTCTCTGTCCCCATCACACAGTAGCCCTGACAATGTGATGATATGGCATCCTTGATTGATCAATGGACCCTTACCCAGGAAGCAGAGAACTCTTTCAGATGCATGTGATCATGACACTATGCCAGAGGCAGAGCAGATATTTGGCTCTCATGTCCTTGTCTGTCTTGTCAGGCCAGGTTCTATTAAATGGAAACTTTTTAACTCTGTTAAAATTTAGGAAATCATATACATGTGATTTGTGAGCTACATACAGCAGAGGTTGCTACTTCTGTGTTTAGAAGAAACACCCAACACACTGTGGATGCTACCGAAATAAGCATGTGTGTTTTTGTAAGCTGTACTCCAACAATAATAAATGGCCCATAGCACATTTTGAATCTGGTGCTCAAGGCTGTTGTAGGTTTTTACACTAAGTGTTTGACATAATGGAACAGTACCTTAAACTAATCCTATGTGCATATATACTTAATTACATTCAAAGGACAAGTTTTATACAATTTATTATCCTGATTTGAACTGAAGACAGCACAGGGCAGCAAAAGCTTTGAAGCATGCATCTCAAACCTGGTGACAACCGGAAGCCAAACTACATTGATTTGCATTTAATGGAAACAATTCAAGACTTAGGAAGCAGACAGGGAATCTGGAAAATCTTTTCAAAAACAGAACTTTGTTGCCTATTGTAACAGGGTGGCCTCCTTGTCAGGTCTCCGCCAGCCGCCCTGCTTCTGGGGTAACTGCCCACTTCACTCGCCTGCCATGCCTTGATGTAAAAATATGAGAGTCATTATTAACGCAGGAGGCTACCCATTACTCGCCCTGCTGACAAGGGCCTTAATACCTGCTCTGACCTCCTCTCCACAGGTCCCATGCCTTGCAGATGTTACTCTGTGGGTGTCACTTCTCCAGCCTATGGACAGAGCAAACTGGGCACAGTTGTACCTCTTCTCTAAAACCCTGGAGGGCCACTTACATGCCACCCCTCTCTCACTGGGGTCCCATTTACTCTGCTGGCTCTCACCCAGCCTCTTTCACACTGACCTCTCTCAGGGCCACATTCATCCCGCCCGGCCTCACCTGGGTTTGGGCTTAGCTCTCCATGCCTCAGCCACCCCTGGTGCAGTCTATTGGGTGTCTCCTGCTACCCTCACCTGAGCTAAGTATAGGCCTATTTCACTCCTGGACCCTTGCCAGGCCATTATGCCCCCACTGGGCCTCCTCACTCACCCACACTCACGGGGCCACTCTAATCTTCGCCCCTCTCACTCAGGGTCTCACTCTCACCCCCCAGGCCTTCTCCTGCTACCTAGGTGTGGCCCCAGGTCCCTCTTCCAGCCTGAACTCTGCCTCAGGGCTCCCCCTGCTCGTTAGAACACCACCAGGGATGTGGGGCTGGGGTTATAAGATGCCCTGGCCCACCTTTCACCGGGGAGGTAACTGGTCTGGCATTTCCTGGGGGCTCCCATGCCACTAGGAGCCCCACCAGACCACCCTTCCCTGGCAGGGTGCAGTTTTACATCTTAACCAGGATAAGGGGCCACTTCCACCCCATAGCCCCTGCCCTTACCTCCTGTTATTCTCAGAGCATTCTCTCAGCCTGATGTTACCTCCTTCCTTCCTGCAGCAAACTGCAGCCCAGCTTATATCACTGGGCCAAAATGGCTGTCCTAATCAGGCACCTGGCTGCTACCTGTCTGCCCTTAAGGTGGCAGGCACCAAAGGTGCACTGCCACACCTATACACTGAAGAGATTTCTCATCACAGACAGTACTAGGAAAAAAGAAAGAAGGGAGAAGCACAAGATGTGGCACATCCTTCAACCTCTGAATCCTCTTTATTATTATCTTTGATAAATATAAATAGCCACAAATTAAAAAGGTACAGCGACATGAACTGATCTTACCTAGAGGAAATTTATAGATACGTTCCCTGCAGCTAATCCTCATTATGCCACAGTATGCAACTACTCAACCTTAAAAAGCAAAAATCAAAAGTTCAGGATACCAGAATTCAATTCAAGCCACTCTATAAAAGTTGCTGTTAAAGCTATGTAGAAGGGAGTTAAAAGAAAAGAACAGAAAAGAAAAGAACAGGACAGAACAGAAAAAGAAAAGGAGTCAGGCCCACTGAGAATGTGTTGGTCTTTTGTCCTGTTCTGAACAAGAGAAATGGGAGACAGTCAGAAAAAGAAAGAAAGTTTGATACCAGGGAGCACTTTGCTAAGATACTGTGCCTGCTCTGTGCATGTCATTTCCTGGACTGCAGGTAGTGTAGCCACCCTAATGAAGTACTGTACACACCAGTAAGCCCTGTGGTTACATTGCTGTGCTAAGACAGCAACACTTTTTTTCTGTTTCAGGAGGTAGCATACAGGGAGTGAGTAGCATATAGTCTTCCTGGAGCTATATTAGGACAGTATAGATGCATCCTCAGAGAAGAAAAAGAGTAAAGCATGAGAGGGACTGTGATACTGCTACTAGGAAAATGAAGCACATTGCTAAGATGGAGGAGACCACCCCCAACAGCCCAGGTTAAAAAAAAACAAGCAGTCCCAGTCCCTGCAGCTGCCTAGCCACTAAGTATGTTGATTTTGGTCATGGTTCTCTCCCCCAAAGCCAATATTCTTCTCCTAAATTCAACCGTCTTTTTCCACAGCACCACCTCAGTATCCCTTTTACCTAAAAGGCATCATTGGATTCTTGGCCCCTTCTCTCCTGACCAAGTCATTCTTTCTTTTGTCTTGCCTTCCTTTCCAAGGCAGCCCCCAGAAGCACATTTTGGAGGCACTCTAGCAGAGTGAATGACACTACAGGAGACCCTCGCCATTCGCAGGGGATACGTTCTAGAGATCCCCAAGAATGGGGAAATCCGCGAATACCATACTGCGTCATCTGCGCTGAAACCTTGTGGGGGATAATCCTGCACTGCTTTATGGTCCGCTGATGCCGATTCCCGCATCAAATTCACATTATGTAGGCTGTGCCTCTTTTTTACATTTCTCAAACCACCACTTACTTGCGGAGCGCAGTAACAAAGTGCCATCACGCTGCACAGGGAGAGAGCCTGGGTTGGCGCGGCGCACCGTGGATATTTGAAACTGCGAATCGCAAATCCGTGAATAGCGAGGGTTTCCTGTACATCTGAATTTAGCGAAAATATTCCCTTGTTGCATGTTACTAGACATCGACTAGCAAATGCAGAATTGAGAGGCTGTTTCTGGAAAACACAGCTGTAGAGGGCCAAATACAGTCAAGCTGCTTGGGCTCCTAAAATGGAGGGTCACAGCTTTGTATAGTAACAACTGTATTTACTGACCAATTTCCCTATGTTCACACAGGTCGGGGCATGTTTTTGAATATTCAGACAGAGAAACAAGGAAGTTTAAAACAAATATAGCATTTTAACATAAAATTAATACAGGTCCTAACTGACAATTTGAGATCTATTTTAACTAGTTTGAGAGGTAGTCCAAATAAATAAATAAATAAATACATTTGGCATTATAAAACTCACAGCTACTAAAAGTCCTCTCCAAAAGCAGAGAAGGAGATTTTGGGGAAGGAAAGAGGGGAGGAAGTTCTTTTCCTCATGCAGATGCATTAGATTGCTAGATGTAAAGCAAAAGGCAGGCTACGAAATTCACAATAAATTCATTCAGATTAGTCATAATGCATTCAGATTAGCCACAACTTTCAGCTTCAGCAAAGGTCCCTCATAATCCATCAGCAAACTGACAAGGTGCTTCTTCCACGTAAACCCTCAGGCTCTTCCTGCACAAAATTCAATAACTGTCATGACTAACCAAATGAATGATTCTGGATCACATAAAAAACATGAAGAACCCTGAAAAGGGGTGGAGAAAAAAAGGTACAAATCTAATAGCACCAAAAAGAAGGACATTTTAGAGAGCTGCAGAAGCTATCGTGTTCAGGATTGCTCCAGGCTGATGTATGGCACCAACTATACTGCTGAACAAGTCAATTTGCAAGGTCAATTCCTAACACCACAAAAGTGAGAAAATATATTCTACAGAAGGCAAAGCTAAGACTGTGCTATTTCTGCTAATATAGTCTTGAAAAATATGATACAGCCAAAAAGCAGTTCTGCAAGGCTGCACTGATTCTCTAAAAACTCTTGCTGAATGCTTATGCAAGACATCAAGCTGAAGTGCATTTAAATCCATGCATTTAAACCATGCTCTCCATGGTTAAATGCTAACGTGCATTTAAATCCATGCTCTCCATCACTGTAGTTTGAGAGTGTAGCGTTTAGGGGCCAGGTCAGAAAACAGGAGGAGGGGAAAACTTTTGTTTTGCCCCACTTGGATGTTAGGCTCTTTCTCCATTCTCCAACACTCTCCGCTCAGATCCTCTATTACAGGGGTTGGCAACCTGCAACTGCTCACTTGGAGGCCCATGGAGCCATGGCTTTGGTGGCATTTGGCAGCAGGGACCTCTACCTGTTCTGCACTGCAGGCAGCTCCTGGGGTTCTGGTGGAGGGGGAGCCCTGCCTGTGCTATGCCGCAGTTGGGGGGCACGGGTACCAGCAGAGGGGGGCTTCTTCTGCACCACACTGCAGCTGAGGGGCAGGGAGAAGTGGTAGAGAGTAGGTCCGGATGACTGTCCACCTCCTATCAAAGCACAGACATTCTGCTCTCCGACTCCCCCCCAGAAAATATTACTGACCCCTGGTCTATTATATTAACTTCTTTAGCTCTCCTTTTGTGAAGACAACTTTGCGGGGGCTCTCCAGGGAGGAGTAAGAGGTTCCCTCCCAACAGAAGCCAAATGTCCACATGCTACCTTTGCAGCAGGACAGCAGACTTAGGACAACATGGATGGCAGGCTGAACCAATGATTTGTGTTTTAACAAAACTCCTCTCTCGTTCCAAGTTGTATTTAAGAACTAGACAAGAAAGAAAAGGCTACTCGGACTAGATTCCACACCTCAAGCTAAGAAGCTCAGTAGTAGCAGATGGCGTGCAAGCACAGCTTTGTTTATGTTTAAAGACCTAGTGTACACTAAGTGTAGCATTTGTTGATTTTAATTACTCAAAACTGAAGAGAATGACTTCAAAAACAAGAGACTTTGATATGACCATGATGAAATTTGCTAAAACAAGTTTCACATTTTTAAGATACATTTCCTTTCACAGACAGTAGTGTAGACTACAAGACATTACACTTATGTTTCATAAAAAGATCATTGGGTTTAATAACTCTGCTTTGGTCATAATGCATGCTGGATTTCAGGCAAGGGAAAATTAAACGATCAGGTTTTAAATACACTTGTAGTTGATTGATTACCAGAAATGTAATGAGCTAGGAGGGGGTGGGGGGGGAATCTAAAAGTTAAATTTATTGACAATGCTTATGGTCCTGATAATTAAATCCTTCACTTTAAAATAAATTCTGCAACACTGGTCAATCCAATCCTAAGAGAAGAGGTATTTATAGCATTCTGTAGAAAAGAAAAAGTACAGAAGGGAGAGCGGATGGCTAACATAACGATCACTTAATATTGCATGCGACACTTAGAAGCTCAAGTGAGCAGAAAAACGTTGGAACGCTGCAGTCTACCTGGAGCCCTTCAGCACTTAGCTCTGTTTCCAGCTATGACCCACATCAGAACTTATTTTAAGAATTGTAAGGAAATGTCAGATACTTACACCTCTGCTCTGAAATGAGGGCAATGCACCAACAGGCAAGCTCACAGGAGTTGGTGGAGTCACAGTAACTTCACATACTGGATCTCTTGCAACCACCATGCTTACAGAATTCCCACAGTTTCTCAACACTTGAGCAACTTGTTCACTGGTCATTCCTTGTACATTGGTTCCTCCAATCTGTAGGATGTGATCTCCTGTTTTGAGTCGCCCATCCTGCAAACAAACAAAAAAACCCTAAAACATTTTATAAATAACTGGAACAACATTTTACATTGCAAAATTGTAACTGTGTAATAGAAATGTTTTCATGAGGCAACTAGTGCATGAAAATACCATGAAATCAATCAGCGCTGCAACAACTAATTTAAGGAAGTGCTAAGACAATTAGCCACTGTATTTTATAATGGGGTTTAACAATTCTCCGGCAAGCCATTAAAAACTCGTAGGCCTTTAACAGTACATTTCTTTTTTAAAAAGATTAAATATCTTATTTATTGGGAATCAAATACCAAAAATGTTTTATAATCCTGAAGTCTGAGATATTCTGAGAATTAAGTGATCAAATAGCAGAACAGGAGCTTAGGGATAAAAGCATAGCATTTAGATTTAGTGCTATTTGGTCAATCTCATGATACTTGTATATTAGGCTTACAGTTCTCGTTCACATGACTAGTCCTTACTCAAGCAAGTCATTCCACTGAATATAAGGGAACAATACACAGGAGTATAATTACTCATGTAAAAAGTCAGTAAAATCAAGATCTAAGTCATCATTCTTAATGTAAGAGAAAATAATGCTAAACATTCATGGGCTCAAACCCTCAACTGGCATGTCCTAGCATAGTTCCACTGAGTAAATGCATGGTTCTATACCAGCTGAGGAGCTGGCCCATAACATTTTTTTCTGGGGCCACTTCTTGGACTAGTTAAGGCTCATTTTCAAAAGTCTTCCAGTGCTACTATGCATGTGCCCAATATTTCATATATTTTCAATTTTCTCTTCCATTTAATTGAGCCTGATCTGGTAACATCTAAATTTATATCTGCTATTTGAAACCAAAACATTTTGTTCCTTGCAGCAAAACAGGTGTTTCACAGTAAATGAAAAAGCACTGATTTATACAACGTTTCATAGAAGAGGTACTCAAGTAACAGCCAACACTTTCCATTCCAGTTCTTCAAACAGCCGGTTGTCATTTTTATTCTTTATTGAAGCAAGTCCCATAAACTGCCTTTTTCTGTACAAAGTTTTTAAAATGCAACAGTTCTTTGTTGAACGTCTAGGGCCCTGGGCAGCATTTATTCTAATTGGGCACGGGCAACTGTTGGGTTTTTTTTAAGTCCAAATCCTATTGGATACTTCAAGCCCTTAACCAAACTTAGGCTAAGTACAGATAGTCAAAAAGCATGAGGCTGACTGGATTCAATCTTCCCAGGTTAGTCTAAGCTACACAGATTGAACTGATAAGCAAACTGACTTTTGATTCCAGAAATGCAGCTACAGTGTCTGCAGTGGCCCATACCAAAAGCTGGGGGGGCACTAGAGCATGCCTCCCTGCTCAGCTGGAGCAGACAGCTTGAGTCTAGGCTAGCCCACCCAACCTGCAAGGGTGGGGGAGTTTGCAGGAGTGGTGCAGAGCATCCTGGGATGCTGGAAGACTCTGAGTTAACTTGAATCTGGAGGGGATCCGAGATAGAAGTTCAATAAACCAATTTAATCTAAATCAGTTAAGCCTGATACTACGTCCATCCAGGTTTAATATAAACAGGTTTCGGCCATTTTGAAAGCAGTACATTTGCACTGAATTTTTGTTGTGTTACAGATCTGAACTAGTTTCTAATCACTTATACCAGTTTATGTGTAATTTCTGCCCCCAGCCTTAAAGACTATGCTGGACTTTGATGTGCTCAGCACCTCTCACTTTTATGCCTTTCCAATTAAAACACCAGTACTGCAGTCTGATCCAAGCAGGTCTACCCATTCACCTTTGTGCAGTACCACTCATTCTGCACAAACCTTTACAAGAGTCTAAGGGTCTTTACAAAACATATTATTAGTCATCTATGGGCTGAGACTCACAACATCCACATACATCCACAAAGGTGTATGGGATCTTGCACAAAAAAGAATCATTCATTTGAGAACAGTTTTGGAGTTGGTTCCTCCTAAATGTAACCAAATATATAAAGTTCTCTAATAACTCTACAATTCTGTTATGAGTAGCTGTCCAAGATTGATGACTAATGGTTGAAATAGGATTGAATGTTAATTAGAATGCTGGGCAATTTTTTAATCTGTCTGTTTTACACTGCAGTCAAAGCCAAAGTATGTCCGAGATGTAATTTAGGGCAGTTTAAGGGTTGTTTTTTTGTCAGTCGTTATATTTTTAACAGGTATTCATTTACAAATAATATATATATTGGCATTCAGTCTTTGATGCTATCTTCTTCCTTTTGTTTGGACATATCAAGTTGATGTAAGGACTGTCAAAAGTAGTTAGTTTTACATTACAACAGAATAAGGAGAGACATAAAACAACAAATTACCCGATCTGCTAATCCCCCAGGAACAATAGTCCTTACAACTACACCATTTGATTTTCCTCCCACAATTCCAAAACCCAATCCTGAGCCATCATTAATCAGCTCGACATCTTCAACACAGCCCCAGTGAATCTGTAATAAATAGAAAAGGGAGATTTTAAATTTCACTTAAATCAGGAATATTTCCAAACCTTACATTTACCAGAATTTAATTATTAATCTAATTTAGAACAATTTCCCCCCAGCTGCAGCTATAATGAATCTTGGTCAACCAGTTCCCACCTTCACAGAAAAAATCATGGCTTTTCAGTTTCATAAGATGGTCCATCTTTGGATACATCAATACAATTTCCTTACCGCAATGGAACTTCTTAAAATCTGATAAAAACCAGGAATATTGTAAACTACAAAAAGATAGTGAGAGGTCAGCATTAATCTAGTTTTTGGTTAATATTTACTCCATACCCTACTTCAGCCAGGTCACTTATCACCTCTGATGAGCTCCAGTGTACTCTGAATTAAAAGCACAATGTAAATTTTACCCTACCAAATTAGAGACATGTCTCTAAAATACTTTGAATTGTAGCCTTATATTCTACAAGACTATCAAGACCAAATAATTTTGATCTCCTATTAGAGTTTCTTTGTAGAAATCAAACTGAAGCAAAGCAGGCAGGTATGTGTCTTCTACAAATAAAGGCTTTATTATTACATTGCAAATGTTTGCCAAGACCAGTTAAAAATCATAAAAGATGTTTAAAGACCCCCTACAGAGAAATATCTTTGATTTTATTTTGTTAGTCTGTTCAGTGCAGATCCTTCAGTGAAAAAAGCAGTTAAAGTTTAATTCCTTAAAATTTTCAGAGCAATAAACAATATTGATTATCCATTAAACCTTCAAAATTCACTGGTTCTATAAGAATCATGAGAGAAATAATTACTTAGTAAAAGAGAAGACATTCCTCTTAAGATTTCCATCAAAACCTATCAGCATAATGAATTAAAATCCCAATATCACAAACCATATAATCAATTAAGCCTGTGGGCCATATGCTTGAAGATAGATCCAAGATCAGGCCCCAAAATGATTATACCATCAAATGGTAAAGCCCTCCGCCTCAATAAAATTACAGTGTTTTTGATCAAAGGAGGCTAGCAACACCTGAAAGCTAGTATGAAAAGCTCCCTGGCTAATCTTTAAAAGGTCTCCCTCTCAATGATACATAAATGCATATCTTCATCATAAAAAAGAACTTTGTTTTGAGGTGTTAAGCTTTCAGTAGAGCATCATATTCAGGCTGAATAAGATAGGCTTTGCCAACTTCTTTGTATGTCATAATCAGTACATCTTCAGTTGTTGAGCAAAAGTGTATTAATACTGGGTAAATTGACAAAGCATCCTACACGGTCTTTGAACAAATTCAATGGTTAAAAAATAGGTTGATCTACTAAAGCTTCCAATTCCCCCCATAAAACCCAAGATCTACTTTATAATAAATTCATTCAGCTTTGCAATAGAAGCATTATATTTATTACACAATTAGTTTAAATGGAAACACCCTCTGCAATCCATAACCTGATAGAAAAAGAACATAAGGTTAGATTCTTTAACATAAATAGCTGCAACTATAAAACACCCTCTAACAGTCCAGTATCTGATTTTTGATATTTTTACAACTCACAGTCTCTGGTGGATTTATGTCACTTAAGACAGCAGAGGTTCTGCTATTTCTTTGGACTGGCTCCCTGGCAACCACCAGATGTAAAGATCCTGTGGACTGTTGGAGCAGCGCAATCGCCTGCTGATGGGAAATGTTCTGATCCAAAGGGGTGTGATTAATGGCCAGTATGTGGTCATTTTCTTTTAATCTTTGATCCCTTAGTTCATAGGAAAAAAAAAAAAGAAGTTTTAAAAAGCAATATAAGTATACTCATGACAGTATTGTGTGATCTAACTGAGAACATGTAAAACACACAGATATGCAAGGTTGTGAATGATATCAAAACTAAATTAATTTGATTATTATATTGTCTACAACAGTATACAAGTTCTTAATGGGAATCTCAAAATCTATTTAACAGCCCAAACAAATGGATTTTTTTTGCAACACTGTTCCTATTGAAAATTAAAAGATGTTTGCCAATTCATTCTTGATTATGGAGAGCTGAAGAACAGAAAAGTTCAATTTTTCCAGTCATATAATGAAAAATGCTACTTTATTCATTATTTTTAGTACTGTGACATAATCTCTAAGTACCAAACACTTAGAGTCGGACACAGCTTTATGTCATTATTCAGCCTAAGGATTAAGATGTGAATCCAAGACCAAGTTCAACCGGGGGGGGGGGTGGTGCAGCCTGGTCCTGGACTCAAGTACTGACCAGGGGCAAACAGCTGCTATGGCTTTGGCTCCAGCTAAGCTGAGCCCTGGGCCAGAGCCAGAACCACTGCCTGTCCTGGACTGCAGCCAGGGTCGGGGCTGGGGTCAGAGTAGCCCATGCTGCTGCTGCCTGGAGTCAGTAGCCATGGAGTTCAGGGCTGAGGTCAGCAGTGTGGAGTGCAAATCAAGGAGTGGCATAGGTCTGGACGCAGGTGATGGAGATGATCTTGGATCAAGCAGCAGCATGGGTTGGGGACTGCACAGTGGAGAGATGTGTTAGGGGGGCAAGCGGTTGGGGGGGGCAACAGGAAGGGGCAGGAGACAGGCACGGGGAAGAAGGGGCAGGGGTCAGGTTGCCTAGCCCTCCTAGCTGCTTGCCTCCCTACTGTCAGCTCCCCAGCAACTGCTTTCCCCACCACTGCTTTCCTCACCATAGCAGTGGAGAGGAAAAATAAAGACAATCCCCCAGTAGTAATTACGATTCTGTACATGGAAAATTATAACAAAATTTGTAAATTTTCCACATATAGAATATAATTATTGGGAGTCATTTTAAACTTGAAGTCACCTTGGATACAGATAAATATGGTATACTTATATGGCATTATGTTTAAAAGGCATTTGCCATGCTGAATTTCAGATAACAACATTCAACTCCCTTAACTGGGAGGGAATTCATAAAAAATAAGTGAATCAGCTTTCTTTTGGAAACAGAAGGCCTAACTTTCTACTAATGCATGATGGCACAACTCCAAAAGGAATTTATTTAACCTGCTGAGTTGAGATCTGTAACAGCAAATAAAGGAAAGGTCTTTAAATTGCTCAGAGAATTGTTCATTCAGACTACTACACCCAAGGACTGCTGTGACAGATTTTGCCTTCTCAACCTTGTAGGAACCCACATCATCTTCAGCAGATCCCACCTCAAAAGAAACATCAAGTGTTTTGGAATCAGAAGACTAAGAAAAACAAATCACACATGCACATACACCAACAACTTAAACATCACATTCCTGATTTTTCAGGAGTATGCAACATTAAGGCCTTTACTTGAGCTTTAGGTGTCTGTATTCAGACCTCACCAGCATTTTTTGCTCCATGAAGTCAAGTCCTAACATGCAACATTCCCCCTTCCTGTCCAGATCTATACACCTCTCTCCATTTCAAAACAGCTTAGCATGGGTTTCCTTAAGTGTTCCTTGGTGTGTACTCTGTGAACCAATATCCATCATCGTTTAAACCTCTTCCTACCTTGTCATGATGTGTTTATTGTCATATCCAACTCGTGTCACTTAAAAGTAACATTGTCAACTTGAAATTTATTCACAAGATTTTTAAACACAGTAGTACTAGATTGGCCCTCAAATGCCCCTAACCAGTTTTGAAATTCTACAATCCTGGGTGGGGTTTAAGGTTCTCTCTGACTCCTATTATTAGGAGAAAAAAACAACATAAGTGAATAGGAAAAATTGCCTAAGCTTCTGGTTCTGCAAGGAGATGTATGTAAGCATATGCCAGGAGGTTCCAGACCTAAAAATCACACGGAAAACAGTAAAATTGCCAAATGCACTTAGTAAAAGTGGGTGGACTTTTCTTCCTCCCTAATCTCTTTCATGGATTCTAATAAGGATAAAAAAAATTCAGAGAGCATGATTTTTAAATTCCTGATGTTCCTATACGGTTTTGTCTTTATTTTTACTCACCATAGACAGGATTTTCATAAAAGGAGTAGTGATTTTTGACACCTTCATTTTGGGGCTTCCAATGAGAAAGAGTTTACAGGGGCCTTACTTTGAAAAAGCCCCGAGCACACATGCTTTGAAAGGCAGGCCCATATAAGGTGAGTCTGATACTGCAGCAATTACAACTGAGACGCTGAAAATTTAGTTTCTTCTTTAAATCTTTGACTTAGACAGTGTCTGTTTAAATTGTAAAATCATAATTTTATAGTACTTTTGATGGGGATGTTTTAAAATAAAAAAACGTAGAACAACATGATGAAGACACTCACCTGTCAGCTACACTTCCTGGCTGGACTTCCTTGACAAAGATACCAACTTCTCCAAAGTTTTGATTTTTAAGAGCAACCACACTAAATCCAAGACCACCAATAGATGGTTTTTCTATATTTATATACTCTGTTTGTCGGCCCTAATAAAAAACCAAACACAAAAACCAGTGAATTGTTAATTTTCAATAATGTGGAAGTAGATTGTTTAAATTTATGAACACAGAGAGAATTATCATTCTCCTTCTAAAACTAAACAAATGCAGAATATTGAACATGTTATTTCTATAAAAAACTCCCCCATTTATTATTTTTAATATAACAGAGTGTAGTATATGCAGACAGCCTGAAGTTTTGAAGCCTCAGGGAATTTAAGAGCTGCTTTCACACTTCATTCACATTATGAGATGAATTCCAAAAGGGATGAAAAGTATGAATAAAGTGCTGTCTAGAGCAATATACTTGGAATTTCTGGAAATACTGCATAGCTGAACTAAATTACTTGTCTTTTCACTGCTTTTTGCTTTAAAAAGACTGCATTTTTGGACCTATGTTCAGAGACTTTAGTTTTTAAATAAATACATTTGTTTTCCTCTACCCTAACACAATTTCACACTTAATAGTAAAAAGTTTACTTCTGAATTATTCTAGTTTTCACTTCCTGTACAGAGTTTCTGGACTTATTTACTGAGATGTAAGAGTTGGAAAATATTGCTTCAGTTTTATCCAAACTGAAGTGTGGTCATTACTGCTAAATCTTTTATTGGATTGGTTAATGGTACACTAATGAGAAAAGTTATGCTCAAAATAGTACAGCTTCAGTAAAACAGTCAATTAGTAACAGTTACTTAAATAAAAATAAATGCCTAAGTAATTTAATTATTTAAAATAATCCACAACAATAAATGCACAATTTCACATGGGTGGACACTACACCTGCATAATATTCCACCCAAAGTCAATGAGGCTCTGCACAGAAGCACTGATACAGTGCATACCATATTTATTCAAATCCAAGATGAGGTTGTTTCCCCATTCAACACGAGGGGGAAAAAGCCTTGTCCTGGATTCAGGTATCAGCCTGGGGCAGGCAGTGGCTATGGTTCTAGCTTCACCCCTGACCCAGGACCAGGGCTAGAGCCAGAGCCATACCTGCTGCCTGCCATGGGTCAAGACTGAAACTGCTACCACCACTGCCACTGCTCCTTGGTCAGGGCCAGAGCTGGAAGGGGAAGGGGTGGACAGGTTGTTGGGGATGGGCAGATAGCTGAGAAGGCAGGCACTCGGGGAAGAGGAAGACAGGTGGCAAGCGCCAGGGAGGCAAAATGACAAGGGAGCAAGGTGCAGGTCAGGCTACATGCTCCCTTCCACTTCCCTCCCCACTACCTCTTCCTCATCACTGCTTTCCCTGTGCCCTGCCCCACTGCAATGGAGAGAGGGACAAATTTTAAATGACCCTCCAATAGAGGGTCCAATAGAAAAAAAATGTGAGCTCTCCATCCTTGGAAGTTTAAGAGAGGGTTAGACAGATACTTGGCTGGGATGATTTAGTCAGGGATGATCCTGCCTTGAGCAGGGGGCCTGTGATGACCCTGTGAGGTTCCTTATTTTCCCCAGGGCTCTACGTTGTTCATAATATTTATAGGAGAGGTATAAACAGAAATTTCCCAGCTTCTTCTATAAAGTTGGTAAATGTCTCTGTTCATGTTTTAGATCAAAAATGGATTTTTTTCATCAGAACAAATGTTTGCAGGAAATGACAATGACATTTCAACTACCAATAAATAAATGGGGTTTTAAGAAACCAAAACACATTCTTTTCTATTGTGGAATGTCTGATGGAAAAAACTGAGGGGGTACATAAAACTCCATTTTTTCAAAATCTTCTGCAGAGAAACATTGTTCAAACAGTCCCAACTCTCCTGAGACTGTTCTCCCAGATACACTATAGAAACTTATATTTGTAAACCTATTGTAATATTATATACACACAACCATTTGACACTAATGAAAAAGCAAGTTTAGTCCATTGGCCATGAGCTTTACCTTTGCCATCTGCTGGATGATTGCATTAAATTCATTAACTTCTAAATCTGGAACTAGAAGAGGTAATCTAGGTGTTGCTGATTTTGACAAGTTTCCATTAGCAACTGATTTATCAGCAAACACTAGTACCCCTTTCCTAGTAAAGTCAAAGTCTACTGAACGGTCTGAAGGCATGTAATTGAGCTGTTGAAATAAACAGAAAGATTTTGTTAAATGCCTTCTTCAAAACAGTAATAACAACATAAAAAACATTTCCAGATATAAGATTTAGTACAAAGACATCCATGTAAATGGGTTTGCATTTTAAATCAGAACATTAGAATTTGGAATGTGTATCAGGATTGCCTCAACTTCAATGTTGCATAAAAGGATAAATAGCACAAGTATATATTTAGAGGTCATATCATTTTCCTGAGAGAGAGAGAGAGAGAGAGAGAGAGAGAGAGAGAGAGAGAGAGACCAGGGGTAGGGGGAAGGAAAAAAAGAACAGCAGAGAATTCAGCATCATTTGGAAAAAAAAAGGGGGAGGGAGGGAGGGGTGGGACAGCATGGTAGTTTGGAAAAAAAAAGGGGGAGGGAGGGAGGGGGGGGACAGCATGGTACCAACAGCAGTCCCTTTAGTTTTTTAAGAATTTCTATTTTTAATACAATCCAACCACATTTCAGATATTTTTAAAATGCAAAACCATTTTCCTTTTCAAACTTTTCTGCCTATTTCCATCCCACTTACTCCTTCTCTTGGTTTCACTCCTCTTTCTCGTCTTTTCCTACTCTCCCATTTTCACCTTCCAGTCCAGAAGCTAACATACATGGAAGAAGCAGGTGTTAGGTTTCAGACTCTTGGTCAAATCATCTACTTCCATTAAAAAATTTAGGCATCCAAGTCCCATTTTGAGACTGACTCTGGCACGTAGGAGCCAAAGGCTAAGTCTACCCTTGGAAAGTTTTGCCCATGTAAGTATACTACTCTGGCAAAACTGCACTTTTGTGATGGCACTCATTCCAAGCTCCATAAGAGTCCTGTTGCTGTAAATGCAAGGACACAAGAAGCACAGCTATAGCAGTGACAAATCTTGCCTCATCCTACCCCTAAGACAGCTAGGTTTGCAAAAGTCCCTGGTATAGAGTAATTGAAAATCCATGATTTATGCCCTTATACCACCGAGGTACTTTTGAAATGTTTACCACATTTCATGCATCTTCCTTTATGCAATGAGTTTAAACAAAGCATAGTACCATTCAAGCACATGAAAAGCAGAATAAACCACAGATAGTTTGAGCTGTCTCCAGTGCACAGTCCATGTTTAGCACCTGGGTGCATCTGGTCCTCAAGCCACAAACTGCACATGCTATCATTGCTACAGGTTGGATTTCAGTTTGTAGCAAAGCCAGTTGACTTAAAAATGCTGAAAACTTCAGCTGGGAATTATGAATATTGATGACCTAAGCTGGAAGAAGAATTCTCACCTAAACAGGAGTGCTCAAAAGGAGCACTTTGAAAGGACTCTTAAGAAAATCAATTCATCAAATACTAGTTTGGAACATCCCAGAAATAATTTCAGTATGCACTTACCAGAAACAATGTTCTTTCATTTAGTGGCATTTACATACAATTTTTCTACTTCAGCGATGCCTATAGAATTCTTTGTTTTGAAGGCAGAATTAAAAATGACAGTGTGCCTACGGAGAGCTCTGCTGCTCAGAGCATACAAAATTAGTCCCTAAGTCTTCAGGCCTGGTTCAACTATTTGCATGACAAATTGGCAGTACAAGTGAATGTGACACCGGCCCTCATCACTCTAGGGCCTCAGTACCATTGGTATGTCCACACTGCAGTCAAAGAATTACCTGCAAGATGGTACAGACACTGCTCACACTGGCAGCAGCCTAGCCATAGCAAAAAGGTGCTTAATGAAGGCTAATTGACTCTACTAAAAAATAAAATAAATTAGCCTATTTTGTGCTCCATGCTGCTGCCTCTGAACTTTTACCAATACCTGAGATTGCTGGTGTAGAAATAATCCAGCTGCCAGCAATCTTTTTGTGGTGTCAGGCCAAAATGACCTGGCTCAGGACTGAGGTGGGCCAGTACCAGGACCCAGCTGCTGCTGTCACCACCACCTCTCTCTTCTGTCCATCGACTGCCTGGCAAAGAAGGCCAAAGCCTGCTGCTGACCAGTGGTGAAACCCCTCACTGCCAAATGCCACTGAAGTGCTAGGCACAGAAGTTACACATAAACTGGCTTAAGTGATCAGAAACCAGTTTAAGCCTGTAACAGAACAGAAGTTCAGCGCACATAAACCACTTTCAAAATGGCTGAAACTGGTTTAAGATCAACCTCGCTGAATGTAGTATCAGACTTAACAGGTTTAGGTCAAATCAGTTTAAGGAACTTCTGTCCCAGACCCCTCCCTGACTTAAGTTAACTCACAATCCCCCAGGATGCTTTGCAGCTCAGCCCTGGGCTGGGCTGGGCTGTGGGCTCCAGCAGAGCAGGCTTGGCCCCACCCCTCTGCTCCCTAACAAGAGCACTATCACTGCTCTGGCTGGCTGAAGAGGGTGGGGTGTGGGTAGGAAACCCTGCTCGGGACTGTAGTAAGGGTCTGCCTGGCAGGGGCACAGCAGCCCCTGCCAGGCTTTTCCCCACTCAGGGGCGGGGTGCGTGGCCAGACCCCAGCCAGCATGCTGAGGCAGAGCAGAGGGAAGGGGGGTTTAAACCCCTTCCATTCTCTCTCCTACCAGCATGGGACCCCACCTGGGGTCTGCCTGGCATGGGTGCAGCAGCTCCTGCCAGGCTTCCCCACTCCCTCTCTCTGCCTCAGGCTGCCAGCCTAGGGCCGGTGTCTAGCCATGCCCTGCCACTTGATCAGTGAGTGGGGAAAAGACTGGCAGGGGCTGCTTCCCCTCTCCTCCTCCAGGCAGAACCCTAGCTAGGGACCATACAGGCCAAGGTGGGGGTTTAAACCCCTCCCCAGTCATACTCAGCAGCCTGCCGGGGCCAGGCCATGCCCCCCATCTCAGCTCGAGCAGGGAGGGAGGAAAAGCCTGGAGGCCTTCTCTCCCAGCTTCCCGCCAGCCTTCCATCCACTGCCAGAGGGAAGGGAAGGCTGCTCCAGCACCCCCAAATCCTAGCCTGAGCCACTGAAGGCATGTGTCTGGATTTCTGGAATCAAACGTGAATGTCTGTTCACTTGCTTCTACGTTCAATCTCCGCAGTTTAGATTAACCTGAAAACGACAACTGATTCAGGATCAGACTTTTTTGAATGTCTGTACTTAGCCCTAGAATCTATGGGCTGGATCCAATGGCTCTCAGGTTGTCAGCCCCTGCTGTACCTTTTACAGCAGTCATTAACCCAAAGACCAGATAGAAAAAAAGGTATATTTGGTCACAGTTTATAAGTGATATATGCAGTGACATATGCCTTTCCCCAGTGACCCAGACCTACATATCACATTTTAAATGCTTAGGTAAATATGCTCGACATCATAACCAAATCAGTCATTTGAAGCTTACCTGTTCCTTCAGTTGCTTGATGGACTGCTGAAGAGTCAGTATCTGGTTAAAAAGGGGGCTCCTGAGTGTGTTATGCAAAATAGTCAATTTTTCACTCTGTGAAGTGTCTCCTTTTTCATGTAGTTTCATTTGTAGACGATCCAGGATCTGCAGCACCTGCTGCTTGTCTGATGCCCACCAAAATAAGACAGGTTAGAAATTTGTCTTTGTCTCTCACCACTTAACAGAATAATTGCTCTTGAAATACCTACCTGCTGAAGGATTTTCAGGCATGTTGAACTCGTATGAGTGGAATTAGACAGAAAACCTAGAGGAAGTTTAAAAGAAAAGTATAATAAAGCAAAAAATCCAGTTCCAACTAAGTTACATCTTTTGACAAATTGCTAATAAAGGGACAGTCAAGAAAAAGCATGCTCTCTCACTTTTATTTTAATTCACTGTCATTAAAGCAGAACTTAAATTGATTTAAGCATTTTTCCCCCGTTTTGTTCAACTTGTGCCTTCGACATGACCCAAATTGAACCTCCTTCCCAAAATGTGCTGCTGCTGCCACTATCTCTGGGCTCCCTCTCCCTCCTCCAGCCCCTGGTCACGTCCCCCACACAAGGGGACAGGGGCGGATCCAGGGGAGGTGCAGTGGTGCCCCATCCATTATAGTCATTTCACTGTTATCTCTTATGGTCAAGCGGTTTTCCCTTATATCGGGTTGTCAACTGGGGGTACTCGAGAAGGCCCTAGGACGGTGTGGCCAACTTGTGGCTCTTCAGAAGTTAATATGCATCTCCTTGAATCTTTGCACAAGCACACAGTGACCAGCTTCCATTTGGACACATGGGCTGTCAGTGCCCCACGCTCGGCCACATGCCACCCCCACCCACCCCCAAAGGCCGCGTTTGGCTGTGAGATCCCCACCCCCACCGCATCCAGCCGCCAGGAGTACATTGCTCCGTGTGTGGCCACCGGGGGTACACTGACCCAAAAAGGTTGAAAGCCCCTGCCTTATATTGTTTGTATAGCTCTTCCACATACCAGGAGAAGAGAGAAGCACACCTTCAAACATGAAATAAAATAAAATTAGTATGAAGAACATAAAAGTTGGCAGGGGAGACTGAGGGTGTGGACAAATGGCAAACAAGCAAGTTAACAAAGGGTGGGACTTACAGGAGAACAGATGATGTTTCCCTGCCTGCTCTTACCTCCGAGGAAGCAAGAGCTGAAACAGGGCTAATTTGCCCCAGTTTTGCTCTCATTTATGCGGAGTAAGAGCAGACAGAAGAACAGTTACCGTGGAGCAGCTGATGGGCAGTAACTCCTCACTCCACATCCTAACTTGCTAAGTTTTGTCCAAACAACACACAGCAGCTGTGTTAACCTAAAATGTAGTCCACTAAAAACACAGTTTGGTTTCATGGCCTATCAAGTGTATAAAACTGTTGCAATTCCACCGCCGTTACTGAAAAGCTATTTTTCCCCACGGATTCTGGACGAGCTTGCTATCTCCTCATAGTGGCAGCTCAGCCCGACGATCTGATTATGTCAGTTACAGCTATGCCAGATTATGCCTCTAAAATCAGTGGTGCCCCATCCACAAGAGAAACGCTAGAGAATCAAGATCTAAAATTGATCTAGTTCAGAGCTTTTCCCCTGGTGGCCTGTGGGCCACCTGCAGCCTTGCAGGGATTAACTCATGCTACCTAACTGCAGGCGTGGCTCCCTTCCCCCATCTCCCCAAATTGTGCTGCTGCTGCTACTATCTCTGGGCTCCCTCTCTCTCCTCCAGCCCCTGGTCACGTCCCCCGCACACCGGGACAGGGGCAGATCCAGGGGAGGTGCAGTGG